AACAAAGAAACAGAACAGCGGGGAAATCTAAGCAGGCATTTTTCACTTCCTTGCGGCTACTCCTCCTGTTTATAAATAAATGTGGTATGCTGGAGAAAGGTGGGGAAGCAGAGCACCAATCCTTGGGGCTGTGAGAGCTCACCGGTGATGCTGGCCAGGGCCTCTGTCTGTCTCTCAGCCAGGAGGAGGGGTCCCAGGATGGGCGGGTGGGCGTGAGTTACCCTAAGGCACTAGAACTGAGTATGCTCCCTTCCACCCAACGTCTCTCCTCTCACAAGTGCATCTGACTCCCTCCTCACTCACCCGGCTCTCACAGTGCACCACACTGCCACTGCCGTGCCAGCAAATAAATCCTCCACTAACCTGAACCCTCTATTAACTGGGTTGTTTTCTGGAATTCCACTGTTTAAAAGCAGGCCCCAAAGAAGGGCAAGCTTATGTTTAAAGATTTATGGTCTCCATTTTTTTTTTTTTTCCATTTGTTTTGCAACAGTCAGGGAAGATCTTGAGGACAATCCACATTCCTTCCAGTCTCCTCTACTTTCCTCTCCTTGACCCAGGCTGATGAGACGACACGCTCCAAATCTCACTCCTGGGACACAGCCAGGCCTTCAGCCATTATGCTAAAATGCAGGCTTGATCATCACACTATATGCAATGTGGAAATTGTTTTGTTTTCCTTAGAACCATCAGTTATTCAGGAAATTGCATTGAATTAAGCCTCTTCCCCCGCCCCCCCCAGAGAACTAAGCTTTGGTCTTCTCAACTCACAAAGGCTGAGATGCTCTGAACCCATTCAGCCAGCATTCTGGACCTGCGCCAAAACTCAGCCCAGAGACAATGACGTAACACCGACTCCTCGGAATACACACTTTCAAGTGGCCTTTTCTCTCAAGAAGTCACGGTAAACCTCTGTGTCCCCCTCCCTCGGGGTGAACGCGAACAAATTCTCTCCAGGGTGAAATTCATCCATGCTTAGACTTTGACTTGTTTGTAGGGGGTGGGGAGATGTTCTAAAAGAGGCAAGAAGGCAGTTCCTAAATAAGCCCTTCTACCCCATGCTGATATTGACTAGGTTCAATCCAACAAGGTCCACCTTGCTACTACGTACGCTCTCTTAATTTTTCACAGGTGAGTCAAGAGAGTCAAGAGGTTAGATGGCAAAAGAGAGGAGGCTCTCAAACTACTGCTCACTCTGTGAGCTTTGCCCAGTGGGCACAAGCCTGTCCTAGTGCCCAGGGACCCTGTCCCCAGGGTGCAGCACTGGCCAGTTTCTCTGCATGTCCCCAGGATTCCTGACCTCCTCCATAACCAACCTTTAACGAGTAGACTTAGGCACAAGGTACTTTTTTAAAAAAAGAGGAGAGTCTTGGGAGGGAGCAAGGGGCTGGGAAGGGGATCAGGTTGCACTGCTACCCTCAAAACTCAAGCACTCACAAGCAGTGGCTGGCTGTTCCTGGTGCCATCAGCTTGTCCCAGTGCATCTGGTTGGATGACTAGGGCCACAAAGGCAGGAAGACACACCCTATCCATCCTCACAACACAGCGATAGGTCTTCCTTAAGAGTTCTTTGATGCATCAGAGGCTTACAAGACCTTGAAAGGATTGCTTACAGGAAACAGGACACAGGGACAAAAGTAGAGGATGCTCTCATACCAGCAGGTCTGGGAACTTGAGAGCCATCTATGTAGTATACCTGTCAGGGATGCTCAAGGGAAAAAGGGCACTGATGGAAAGTCCGGAGATTCTTCATCACCAGCTCATCTGTGTCCTTGGACAAGGGACATCCTCTCTGCAGTTCTGCATATGAGAGGCTATGACTAGATTGATGTTTTTTATTAACAGTAAAACCCATATTTTTTTTTGTATGTGTTTAGTACAGGGCCTACAGGGTCTCACTACACAGATCAGACTTGTAGTGATCCTCCTGTTTTTAGTCAGCCTCCCAAGCGCTGGGATTACAGGCACGCACCACCACACCCAGTCTCAACTGCTGTCTCAATGTGCCCCAAGGGCAGGGCCGGCACACCACTCCAGGGACCACACCAGGGATTGAATGAAACCCATATTTTTCAAATCATATTTTATCTAGAACCTCTATATAGAAAACATACTACAAGCCATTCATGGTCGGGACTCAAGGATGATTTCCAACTACAGACTCAAGGTCGGGAGTCTACGAGTCACACATTCAGGCTAGTGGCCCTTGGGGAACCCACTTGGAAAACTATAGGATGGGATTATCTCTTTCCACAGCTCTGCCATGCTCCTGCAGTGTGCCATAGGAGCACAGAAAGAAAGTATCCCTGATTTAGGGACCTCCATAGTGCTTGGTATTTCACACATTCTGTGTCACTGAAATCTTCGCAAAAACCACACGAGGTTAATTAGCCTGTGAACTAAGCTTCTTTGTGATCCCAGTTGCGAACTGAGATCCTTAACAAGAGGCAGAGCTAAGATTTGAACCAAGGGTTTTCTGACTCCAAACACAACACTCCTCCCCCGCCACAAAATATTCCTCTGGCCTGAAACATACCAGGTACTAGGTTAAATTTTACACTGATAATTTCCCTGAATTGTAAATATTCATATATGTGTATATATAAATACTCATATATGCCTAAGACAAAACTTCTGGAAAAATATGTTCCTCAAAATTATCATTAGGTATAATGTGGATGATTTCCAACTACAGATATTCCTCACTTAATTAGGGTCGTGTTCCTGGGACTAGTTGTTAAGTGAATCGGTGGCTAAAAGGACCACATATAGTATGTATGTTCTAATATTCACAACAAAAAAAGGGTCCAAGGAAAATGCCAACTTGATGACTTTGCTTTGTTTGTACAATTCTTGTATGCAGTACTATGATGTGTAACAGACCATTAAACTACAGTACTGTACTATACAATCAGCAAAAATAATAGTCTTGTACTATCAAAGAAGCCACCATAAGACCACACCGCTGCTGGTGTTCTTGCATCATAAAGCCAAATTCGGGTCCTAAGTCCTTGTTTAACAGATAAGCCATGAAATGAGGAATATCTGTATTATATTCTCTAAGAATCCTATAATGAACTGGTATTGCTATCTGAAATAGGCACTGCTTGTTAAGAGTTATGTTAATAATTCATAACTGTGTTGGGTTTCTATAGCAAATTAGAGACTGAAGGCATAGAGGGAGATATCCTTGACCCAGAATAAACAGTGGAGCCAACAGCCCCAAATCCAACCAATACTCCCTTGCGCCAGAGGGTGCTGGGATGACCAGAGCAGTAATTCTTTTTTTTTTTTTTTTTTTTGAGACACGGTCCCACTATACAGTTCAGGCTGGTCTTGAAAATATGGCAATCCTCCGGCCTCTGCCTTCCTGAGTGCTAGGATTACAGGTTTGTACCACCACACCCAGCCTCTTGTGTGCATTTAGGTTCTCTGAAGTCTCCATTCTACAGTGTGGTTGTTTTACAAAGTATCAGCAAGTGGCTGAGACCCCTCTCAAATATGTGCCTCCCCTCTAGCACCTCTCAACTCCTCCTCTAGCAAGAGGTGCTAAATGAACTGAAGATGGTCACGTGAGCCTGGACCAGAAGGCCTTGCTCCCAGCCTAGCAGGACCTATAGAGAAAGCCCACCAGGCAGGACAACTGAGCTCTCCTGCCCCACCCTCAGGGCCTTCCAGAAGTCACTGGCAAATTCAAAGATCACAGAAGTCTTAGAGAGAGAAAATACCACCCTGAAAAAATGAAGGCTTTGGTGAGGCATAAGGTGTGGCAGGGCGTGCCAGGGCTCCCAGGGTTCCTTCTGCCAGCTTGGCCTGCAGGCATCTTCTAAATATTTAAGATGCCACCTCAAGACACAGCGCAAATCCCTAGCAGTTAGCAACAGCTGCGGATGGGGGCCTTTATGGAATGACTCTGGCAGACAGGAAAGCCCAGAAAGGTGGCTGGGAGACAATGCTGTTTCTTTGGCAATTCATAAAGAAGGGAAGGAGATGAGCAACGTATCAAAACGTGGGGAGGGGTGTTGCACCACCCTCGGGAGTCCACAGCCCCTCTCTCTCAGACAAAGAGAAAGCCGAGGCACGTGCCCTTCACCATTGCCGCCCCAGCCCCAGTTAGCCGGCCTTCCCCCAGCAGGTGGCAAGGCTGTCCTGACCCAGGTAGGTGAGGCTGGGGAAAAAGAAGACAGAAAAAGTCCCCCAGCCCATCCCCAAGGACTTCCCGTGGGCCTCAGCCCGGATGACTCTGCTCTCCCGCATAGCCCGGGAGATGTCACCGCCACCGCCCCAGAGTCTGTCACTTGGAAATTTCCCGTGCATTCCCAGAGATACCTGCCCTTCTCTCAAGCCCCCGGAAAAAGAATCGGACCCGGAGGACCCAGGTGTCTGCCCCAAGACGCACACTCGTCCTTCTATGCCCCACCTGCCTTTGCCGGTGCGGACTGAAGAAACCTAAAAAGGAATATTTTGCCCACATCCCCCCCCCCCCGGGAGCCCCGCCTTCGCCGCTCCCTCCACGCGCTTCCGCGCTGACCCCTCCAGACAGCGCCCCTAGCTTGTCTGTCATTTTCACCTGACAAAGGGTAGGTGACGGGGCGCAGCGACTGGCGACCCCGGCGTTTCTCCCAAGGGGACCTGACGCGGGTCCCCTGCGGCGCGCCCATGTGGGGCCTTGGCAGATTGGTCCCACTCGGGGAACAAAGCGCCGGGGCACAGCGAGTCGCAGCCCCCAGCAGGGTCCCCGCGTGCCCCGACTCTCGCGGGTCCCCCGCGCCCGGGCCGGGTCACTGCCAGCTGCCGCCCGCGCCCGCGACGCCCCGGGGCAGCAGCCGTGCGCCCCTCGCCCTGCCGCCAGCGTCCTCCGCGGCTACTGTACCTGCTAAATTTAGCGCCGCCGCCGGGTATTAATAGCCCGGCGCCCGAGCCGGGCGCTGCAGGGGTGCGCAGCCCCGGGCCCGGGCGGGGAAAGAGGGAACCGAGGGACCGGGGACAAGGCCACTTACACCACCAGTCTGGAGATGATCCATGACACCATGGCGCGCGGGCGGCGGGCGCGGCCCGGGCGGAGAGGGCGGCGGCGCGGCTCGGTGCGGGCG